TTCTGATTGCACAACCACTCCAACGCCTGCAGGTATAATTCTGCGGCATGCGTTATCGACCACGTGTTCCAATTGCTGCAGTGCCGACTGACGGCATGAAAGAAGCACCATCCGTCGCCGGGCACTTTGGTGATGTCACATCCGATCCGAGCTTGTGCCAGCTGATCCAAGTCAACAACTTCTTCTGCGGACTGGTTGTGCGTCGGGCTGTCTTCCGACGTCAACGAAGCATGCTGTGTAACATTAGCTTCAACTTCACTTTTCTGCTTCTTCAAAGGTGTTGGGTTCGAACTCTCACCCTTCGTTGTTGGGTAGGTGCTGGAGCAAGTTGCCTTATCCACACCTTTCTTTTGGGTTGCCAGCTTTTTCGCAGGGTGCATCGTATTCCCATGCAGTGCCCGCATCAATTGATTGCGGAGCTTGCGAGCGACGCACCACATGTGGTTGGCTTTAGAAGTGTCCTTGTAGCCGACGGTATGAACACAAAGTATGGTGCCGGGACTCAAAAGCACCAACACGGTCAACAACACTTGCATCCTATACAGAGGCTGTGTCCGTCGCCGCCTTGCTTTCAGGCGAGTTCTGCCTGCGACGCGGGCTTTCTTGATCCAACCCGTCGGACACCGACCCTTTGCTAGAGCTCGCAGTGCTTGGCACGCAAAGACACAACTGAAGAGGTGGACGACAAACACTGGGTTTATTTTATTAGTGTTAGCACTTACGAACGCAGACACCAAGGCTATGCCCCAGGTGAGTATGGTGTATCGGTCTGGAATTCTGCGGGTCCAATGTGTATGCTTCTTGTCTGCTTGACTTGCTTGGCCGAATTTGCGGGGCTGACTACGACAGCCTCGTCGGCGAAGGTAGCATATGTACCATTCGACGAGCCTGATCCTCCAAACTGTCGAAGAGCACATTGCAAAACTTGCGTCTTGTTCATTTACGAGTTGACTAGCAGCCACGCACCACTTTGTCATGGCTGCACTCACGAACGCAGTCAGGAAGGCCAGGCCTCGGGTGAGTGCGGCGTGTCGGCCTGGAAGTCTGTCGGTCGAATGCGTATGCTTGTTGTTGGCTTGCATTACGAGGCTGGATGTGGCGGGCCGGCCATCACAGCCTCGTCGGCGGTGGTTGAGTGTGCACCATTCGACTAAAGCGATCCGGCAAAAGAGCAACCAACACGTTGCAAAAGTTGCTTCTCGTTCACTAACGAGTCGACTTGCAACAGCGGACCACTTTCTCATGGCAATCCTCTTTGGGTCCATGTTCTACAGCGACTTCAGTTTGCAACTGCTTGTGTTATTCTTTTGCTTCCCTTACTACCAACCCTGATAGTTTTTCTTCTATGACGACTGTAGCTCGTCAACCTTGATTGCTGGCTAAGTTACTTGTCGTTGACTTTCCGTCTGTCCTAGAAAAACCTCTTTATGTCTTCCGTGTCAATTGCTTTTGTTGTGGCATAGGTGTACGTTGCCATTTCGACAAAGGTTTGTGTTTATGTTGTTTCTTCTGGCTTTTGAGTAAAACAGTGCAGCGACGGCGGACGACGACGAGACAGTGCACACCTGCACTTGCAGGTTTGATTGTGTTTCTGCTCACCCCTCACGTTTTGCTTCACACCTTCGCTCCCTGTGTTTGTGTTTGGTTTAGTTAACTGTCTCGTTTCAATTTCAGTCAACTGTTCTCCTTCACTGTGTTTGTCCTAGAAACATGTCGTTGGCACCTCTTCTGGAGCGGCGCTGAGCTTGGATCTTGCGCGCAGGAGTATCAAGCCTCTTCCCCAACACAACAGTCTCGACGCTGAGCAATGCTGTGCGTTGCGTCTCCAACCCAACTCTCAAACTACACTTTCCACGAGCAACAAAGGAGGCTCTCTGCGAGGCGAACTCTTTCACGGGAATTCTGGCAGAGTCCAAACATGGCCGGGTTGCAGTCACAAGCCAGGCACACCGCAAACATGTCAGGCGCGCGGGCGACAAGCGTGTCAAATAACACGCAGACGCCCTAAACTCGCCAGGCTTCCCGCCCTTCAAACATGCCAAACTCGCCGGCCTTTCCTCCATGCTGCGAGAACACGACGGTGCTCGTCGTAGAGCACCTGGCACACGGTTGGGGTGTCGGGTACGGGGTCACAGACTTTTGACACAAAACCAGCGCTGTCAGTTCTCTCCTGTCTCTCTTAAGCGAGCCATGCAGTCAGTGCAGTTCAGTCTCTCTTAAGCGAGCCATGCAGTCTGTGCAGTTCAGTCTCTCGTAAGCGAGCCACGGTGAGTCGCTCACAGTCAACTCTCTCTCGTCACTCTCTGGCAGTCACTTCAGTCTAGTCTGTTTTCAGCGAGTCTGACAAACACAGATATTCGGTGGGTAGTATTTTGTAGTAAAACTCTGTCGTGGATGATCTTTTTGGGTTCGGTTGGTGGGTTTTTAGAGGAAAATAAAACTATGTCAAAGGTAATTTTTGGAAGAAAATGAAACTATCTAATAGATGCTTCTTGACTGAGAAGTTAACATGGTCGAAGATGTTTGACTCCCGCTGGGCCCCTAAACACCGTAACAAACGACCACGGCTTCTCACAGAATGAAACCGCTTGCTCGCCGTAGCTGGGAGGGAAGACCGACGCGCTCTCTGCTTTTGTTGGCTCCGGGTGGTGGACGACGCTACCTCTTCCGAGGACGAGGGGATCGTGCGAGGAATATAGCCCTATCTAAAATTATTCGTCGACGTTGCTGTAGGTGTGGAGAGACGTTGAAAGAGACAGAGCAGAAGAAAGCATAACGCTGTGCCTGGCTGTGGCTGTGTTCGACGGCTCACCCGACCTTCGGTGCACTTACTGTGCACCCGGGCGGTCAGCCCCCTTCTTGCGAAGGACGCTGCCGGGACGCCCGAAGTCCCGGCCCCCGTCCTGCGCGAGGGTGGGGGAGCGATGCTCCCCCACAACCTTTTAGCCGACACAGAGGCAGAGACAGAGACAACTACCGACTAATACCGCGACGGAGACAGGGACGGAGACCGAGGCAAATAGTGAAGGAAAAGGGAGAGACAGAGAGAGAGAGAAAGAGAGAGAGAGAGAGTGGAAAAGTATGTTACGCAATTTATGTTCACATACATCCTCCGCGACAACTTTTTTCGCTTCTGCCTTCCCGCTTAGCGTCACCGTTGCACACACACCCTCACCCTGCTTGGCCGGCGCCCGGCTGTCAGGCGTAAGCCTCTTAAATCCGGGCGCCGGCCACGGGCCCGTGTCCTTGCCGGAGGCCTTCGGTTGGTAACCGAAGGTTATATACGCTCGCCGCCCCTGCCGCCGACCCTTTTGTTGGACCGCGGGGATACCCCCGCCCGACCCCCGCCCGAATCCGCCCGACAGATTTATATGTATCTTGCGCTGGATGTTCGAAAAATGTTCAAAAACATCGTTTTTTACAGTGTTTGTGGCCTTCGGCGTCCACGACAGGGTGCCCGTGGTGTCAGTTACGCGTGCCGCGCGGACAGGCTTAGTCGACATTTCGTGGGTGTTGGGCACAGACGTTGCCTAACATATCCCTAACATAGGCCCAAGATAGCCAACATATCCCCAACATAGCCTCCAAGATGGCTCAACATAGGGCCAACATAGGCCAACATACGCCAACATAGGCCCAACATAGGCTCAACTTGGGCCAAAGATGTACCTAACATAGACCACATGGGCTCAACTTGGCCCAACCTAGGGCCAAGACGCGCACCAGATAGCTCCACCAAGTCTCAAAGAGAGAGAGAGAGAGACAGAGACAGCGAAGACAGAGACAGCGAAGACAGAGACAGAGAATACCGAGACAGAAACAGAGAAGACAGAGACAGAGACAGACAGAGACAGACATAGAGACAGAGAAGACAGAGACAGATACCGACAGAGACCGAGGCAGAGACAGAGACAGACATAGAGACCGACAGAGAGACAGAGACAGACAGAGAGAGGGGAGGGAGAGACGGAGAGACAGCAAAAGATACCTAGATCGTTTATCGCGCCGCCTCCATTCTACTGTTTACAGACCCTAGTGGGCCGGCGCCCGGCTGTCAGGCGTAAGCCTCATAAATCCGGGCGCCGGCCAGGACGCCCGTGGCATGCCCGGAGGGCCTTCGGTGGTAACCGAAGGTTATAGACGGGCGCGCCGGCTGCCGCCGACCCTCGGTCCCAAAACGGGGGGACGACCGGTTCACTGAAGC